GCTGCTCAATAAAACCAGAAATAGAGTTAAGACCTGGAATCTCCTTCTCATGTGCTGTGGTGTAATCAGAGCAGAAACAGATAAATTCAAGTAAAACCACAGGTTGGCGTTCTTAAAAATACATCGGTACATTTGCTTTGTTGATTCAGCTTCTTCCTTCTCACTCCAGATGCCATTTTTCTGAAATAGCAAGTTTATTTGAGAGGTTACTTTAATTTTAGAAAAAAAAATGGAAAGAGGTCAAGATTCACGATCACTTATGTCTTATGATCAGTGAAGGTCATAATAAGTGAATATAATGTTCATCTTCCATTAGGAAAGAGAAACCAATTTATCTCTCAGAACCAATACTTCCTTGTGCCCTATCAATCAGTATTTATGTATCTAAAAATCATAAAATGAAGGTGTCCACAAACCTAGGGAGGAATTTTCAGGTAATCAGTGGATGAAGAACTTTTACATTTTCTTTTTGGGGATTTTTAAAAATCAAAATCTGTGTCTTTTGGCAACATTCAAAGTAATGATCAGATCTGGAGGAGAGGTGGAGATTTCGCATGGGAAAGCACGTGTCTAATGCAGAAAATGTACTGAATTTCCCTGCCCTTCTCCCGGATATTCGAGCAAAGAATGCTGGTGTGAATATTCTTCACTAAGATATAAATCATCCTACCAGACAATTAGCTTCACATTAAGCAACACTAATTCCACAGGACAAGATCCTTACTTAGGAAGACATGAAAATGAAGAAGAAATACTACTGCGATGACTCATCATATCACCTGCTCGTGCTAAAATCCCATGATCTATAATGAATGTTTTGTACTATAATAAAGACAGTGGATATGACCTGAGGGAAGCAAAAGAGTTTTCCTTTACTTTGCATTTTTTTCCAATGAAAAAAGAAAAAAGATATACACGAAGAACATATTAAGTCATAAGTCCCACACTTTAACACTACTAGTTCACGGTATGTTATATGTTTTATACAACTAAGTATTTTCCTTCAAAAATTAGATATTCTGGAGTANTTTTTTTTTTTTTCTTCCTGTCTATGAAAGTAGCATATGCTCATTTTAGGAAATTTATAAAATTCAGTAACATGCAAAGAAGATTAAAAATAGTAATCCCATCACCCAAAAAGTATATCTAAGAACATTTTGATACACAATAAATATATAGTAGTCTCAGATTTAATGTTTGTAGTCTTAACTATGCTTAAGCAATCCGAAATTCCTTGGTATATAATTTGTTATAATTTTGCTGAGGTTTGAATTTTCATCATGAATCTGGATCTGTGTCCAGTTCTAAGTGAAATGAGTGAACATTGTAGGTAGTAATTAGAACAGCCCAGCAGTCTCACTTCATCATGGCTCTGTGCTGCACTTGTTGTATATAAATAATAATGAACAAATTTATACTTTGCTGCATATGGCAGAAAATATACGCTATAGAAAATGTTCACACCTTTGGGGATCAAGCTTGGTTTATAAATATTAATTTCTATATTTCCTTCTCTATCTTTTTTGTCTTTTAGTCTTTTAACGTAGCAAAACATATTTTTTTATTTTAAGGCTTAGAATTGTACTTGAAAACTGGCAGCTTCTACAGACATTCTTACAATAGAAAAACCTTTCCTTCCTGCCCCTACATGGGCAGGTCGATTTTCCTTGAAAACGGCTTCAAGCTGGTTCTAATATTTACTCACTTATGCAGGTGCGTCCGTCAGCATGGAGTCTGTATCCCGTATCACATTCACAGTGGAAGGTGTCCAGAGTGTTAATACAGCGCTGCTGGCAGCCTCCATTCACCACCGCACATTCATCGACATCTAGAGGAGGAAGACAGATGGCCAGGATTACAATGTCATTCCAATGTCAGCTTTGGAAAAGTGGCACAATATTTCTTTGATACACAGTGTGTGTTATATTGCACAAAGACACCATCTCTGTTGCCACAAATCTTTGCTTGTTTGATCCATTTTGCTTCACCGTGTAAACAAGAAAATGTAGATAGAAACTTTATTGAGCTTTTGAAAGCCCAGCAATGATGAGCATAGGGATTGTCTAACAATTTCCTATTCTTCATATACTGGTTAATTAGACTGATCCAAGATATAGATGTTTCCTTGGGGAAGGAGAACCGGAGGTGAGAATGGCAATGAGCTACTCTATGTGGAGCAGCACACACTAGGAGATAGACACCTGTTGTGGGTCTGACGCTGCTCAATAAAACCAGAAATAGAGTTAAGACCTGGAATCTCCTTCTCATGTGCTGTGGT